GGCGGTACTTCCCTCACAAGTGCAGAAAACCCTGACCAGCAGAGTTAACCTCTACCTTTTAGGGAGTACCACCTCAGCCAGACAAACATAAGTTAGCAATGCAAATATATACATTTTAGAATATTAAGTTATAGCTGCACTTTCACACAGGTCTCCTCCCCAACCCCCACTCTGTGACTGGACTGTGAAATGAGAAGCAGCACACTGATGAGCTCATCTCTCTGTCACTCTGCTTGCTCCTTCTATTGGCATGCTCTTTGCCTTGCAAGACACCTGATTGGATCCTTGTACTGCTTCTTCCTCACCCTCTCTGAGCTCTGCTGTACAGTAGATTGTGAAAGGGTGATTTCAAGTCAAATTCGGGCACATACACTTGTAGTGTGGGGAAGGATTAGAACTTCTGTCAGTTTTTACTTCTATTCAGGACTCCATTAAAGAGATTTTCCTGTTCCACTGATAGTATTTTCACAAAACAGAAAGTAATGGAAAATCTGCAACAGGTACTCAACAGGCTCCTCTAACTCTACTGATAAAAGTATTTTTATTTCTGCCTGTGTTGCTATAGGAGATGTATCTTTACTTGTGACTTACTGGTGATACCGTCATCGGTAGAACAGGGGATGAGGGGTAAATCTCTCTAATTGAGTCCCGCATAGTAGTACAACTCAACACGGTTCTAACCTTCCTCACTCTATTCAAAACAAACAAAAAAAAATTTGACTAGACATACACTTTAATTTGTGTGTTTTATATCTGCCTGCAGTTCAGCTTTAACTATTTTCTGTCTGGTCACTTTAAAAAAATGGCCAGAGGGCTGCTTCCTGGACTTGGGAGAATGTATTAAAATGTCCTCCCACTCCCATTGCTCCTGTACGCCCTCTAGGGTGTGTAGCAGTGTGCTCCTTTGGATGACAAACTGGGGTAAACGGTCAATGAAATTGCCCTATACCATGCTATTGCTGTGACCAATCACAGCTATCACATTGCATGTTTCAGCCTTTGAACATTTTCATCTCACAGCGGTAACCTATGAGAGGAAACAAAGTGTACACACAGACTAGACACTATAAAGATATATTCACAGCACCACATCCCTTACAAAAACAGATGAAGATAGGTTTAAAGGGAATGGGACTTTAAATGTGCTATATTCATAAATCAAACATGGAACAGTTAAAATTCAATAATATTTATTACAAATCCATTAAAAACCAAAGAAGGATTTTCCAAGTGATTCTGATAAACATCCTCTTCAATTCTTGCAGGCAAAGTCCTCTATGCACTTTCTTCTACATGTTTCACCGTATGGCTTCTTCAGGAAGTGTGCATACACAGGGCTGGTGCTAGACTATTTTGCGCCCTAGGCAAGACCAGCTCCAACATCCCCCCCCCCAAAAAAAAAAACTTCACCTGTAGTTCCACTTCACCCCTCCTAGCACACATCCTCTTTCCTCTTTTCCACCATAGCTCAAATCCTCTCCCCAAATCCTCCCTCCAAGCTTAAATCCCCCAATTCTACCTCCTAGCAAAAATCCCCTAAATACCTCATCCTAACACAACCCCCTCCAAATTACCCTTCCCAGCACAAACCCTTCCTCCCCACCCAAATTCCCCCTCCTAGCACAAATCCACCTACCCCAGCACAATCCAACAAAATCTCCCCTCCTAGCACAATTTTCCCCCAATCCCTTAATCTCTTAGTACAAATTCCCCCAATCCCCCTCCTAGCACAAATTCTCCCCAATCCCCTCTCCTAGTACAAAGTCCCTTCAATCCCCTCTCCTAGCATAAATTCCCCCCCAAATCCTCCCTCCTAGCACAACCCCCCAGTCGCCCCTTCTAGCACAAATAACCCCCCCAATCCTCCCTCCTAGCACATCCCCCCCAATCTCATGCCCCCTATCTCTTCCAATGACCACTCATCTCTTGGCAGCAGGGTGCCAGGGAATTAATCAAACATTGAAAATGTTGATGTAAGAGTGATCCTGTGTCATCTGCTTTATGGAGGATTGCTCCACTGACAGGAGAGGAGAAGAGAGCACAGCCCGTTCACTCCTGTCTCTCTCCTGTCATTTCTCATTTACAGGCTTCACTGCTCCAGGCTGCTCTCCCCTTTTCCCAGCCATGAGGGAATGGGGGAAGGCACTCAGTGGCCAGGAACAGTGTCCATGGAAAGACCATGGAAAGACCGGCCTGGGGGGGCACAACTGAAACCTGGGGGGGCTTAGCCCACCCCAGCACCCTCTTAGATCCGGCAATGGTGGAGAGCAGGGAAACCAGCAGCGCCCTAGGCAGCTGCCTAGCTTTCCCAGTGGTAGTACTGAACCTGTTCATACAGGATACTAGCAGAAATTGAAAAATAAATATAAGATGTACAGCACAATTGATGGAATAAACCTCACCAAAGAGTCAGCCAAAGGTGTGGTCCAGTCTGGGGACCACCGCAGAGGAGGAATATCCTATAAATATGACTTATATTCATTATTATTTAATCTCTATAGGGTACAGTTAAAACTGCCTATTTCTTCTTTTATACATTGCATTCTCACAAAGGGTTATCAGGTTAAGTAGGTCCAAGAAAGAAGAAACAAAGGGGAAGCCAGGGTGTCACAGAATAGAGAAAGCTCAATCTATATGAATACACAAAAAATACATATATAGAAAAAAAAAATATATATATATATATAGATAAATATAATTGTATATATGTTAAGATAATCAAATAAGCACAGCAGGGAAATCTCATAAAGGACATTCTAATTCCTCCGTCTCTCAAAACAAATAAATATTGTCACTTTGCAGCAAAAAAAGTATGTAAGGTAAACTTACTTGGGCGAAAAGCATCTGTGAACATGCCACTGGCTCCCCAAACCACCACAAAATGTCCGCGTTGTGGCTAACCATGCCTCTTAAAAGTACTTTGGGGTGTTTACTCTTCAAAATGTGGTTTTAACTGTGCTCTAGGGCCTCCAAAAATATGACTGACAGTCAAGAAGCTAGTTGCATAATGTATGCCCCTGGAAAGCTTGGATGTCCTCCTTTTGGGCCTCTTTATGTGGTTAGGTTGTGAAAAAGTCTCTCAAATGTAGTATTCCCATGCTTGAAAGGAGTGGATTAATTTTTTTTTAGTATAATTCTACGTTTGCTCATGCTGTGTGTGAGAATTTCCAAAAAATTGTGGCAAAAAATGACAGTTTCAAAAACTACCTTGTGTTGTTTGCTTTCCAAAATGGGGTAATTTGGTTGGTGTTTCTCCTGTACTGGCACTTCAGGGCCTCGAGAAATTTGATAAGTTGTCAGGAAATTAGGTGCGTAATTTATGCCCTTTGAAAGCTTGAAGGCACACCATGGATTTTGGACCCCATTACATTTTGTGGCTAGACTCTGAAATGGTCTCATGAATGTGTATTCCCATACTTGGGAGCAGAATGTGTTTTAGGGTGGAAATCTAAGTATTGTGTTGTGTGTGAGAAATATCTTAATAATTGACAGCTTTGTATTTAAAAAATCCCATTTTATTTTTCTTTTTGTATTTTCCAAAAACCTTGTGTCAAAAAATGTAATCTTCAAAAGATTACATACGCTTTAGAAAATATGTTGGAGGGTCTGCTTTGAAAAATATGTTCATTTTGTGTGTGTTATCCTACCCTGGCCCTTCAAGGCCTCAAGAAATGTGATAGGAAGTCAGTGAATTAGAAGTGTAATTTATACCCATTGAAAGCCTGAAGGTGCTCCTTGGATTTTGAGCCCCTATGCATCTACACAGGGTATAAAGTCTCACATGTATCGTATCCCCATACTCAAGAGGAGTATAAGAATGTGTTTGGGGTGTACTTGTAAATATGTTTATGCTGTGTGTTAGAAATAACTTGTTAAAATAACAACTTTGTGAATAAAGCACATTTTATTTACCAAAAAAGTGACAAAAAAATAAAACTGCAAAAAACCCACCATGTGCTTGGGAGAGTACATACATGTTTTTTTTTTATCTTTCCCCCTCTCTCTCCCTCTCAACTTAGCAGGGATAACAACCCCCCCCCCCCCCCCCCATGGGGATAATCTGAGGTCTAAAGGTGCAGGAATTGGTATTGATCTGAAATCTGAAGGGGCAGGAATTGGGTTTGATCTGAGGTCTGGAGGTACAAGAATTGATACTGATCTGAGATTTGAGGATGCTATTATTCACTGGCATGCCAATTGCCTAATGCTTTTAAACTGACACTTGTGGAAAAGATTGATGACCCCTAAGGTAGATGACAAGTTGTGGTGTTTATTGGCCACTAGATCTCAGAAGCCACAATCCACATTTAAATAAATTCATGTATGCAGGTTCCACTTTCAAAGTTCCTTCCAAAATCAGCTTGCAGCTGAAGTTCTCCTTTAAATTAATTACTTTTTTTTCAAAGAAAATAAACAAACCTTAACCATGATTCATCACAAAAAATGGTACAGTATATAGCTGGTAACTTCAATTTAATGGAAGACTGCCCATTGTTATTATATATTGTAACATAATGGATCTATCATAGAGACCAACTAAAAATTATAGCCATTCATTCTTGTACATTATTAGTTTTCTAAGAAAAGGAATCTCAGTAGAACATTTGACTCCTTGACCCCTCCAGTACATTTATCTGTGTCCAGCAAAGAAAATGTAATAACGATATTAGCCTCCAGGTAACAAACAGTAATGTACTTTGTTGCAAATATTGAGTGAGACATCAATGATGGCACTGTCTAATAGGCTCTTATCACTCAGCAGAGCTTGACAGCTCTCCCCCAGGCCCTGTCACTCTCTTAGTAATTTAAACTTTGCAAGGTGCTAAAGGAGTTTCTGGTAGTGGACTCCTCAGTATAGCAGGGAATGAGAAGTAGAATGTTAAAGATAACTCATCATTTATTAAGACATTCAGGGAGATAGTTAAATATGGAACTGACTTGCCTCACATTAAAAATGATGTGAATGAAGACAGATGTTTTATGAATTATGTCTGTTCTAGGCACAGACCCAGAAGAAACTATTCTAAATGCTTTCAAGATTTTTGATCCTGATGGAAAAGGCCATATAAAAGCAGATTAGTAAGTATATCATTTTTATAACATTATTTCAATAAATGAATAGTAACCGATCCATTTTAATGCATTAAGTTCAATGCGCATTCAGTTTTAGGTTAAAGGTAGCATATCAATAATGGCCTTTGCAAAGTGATGTATTCATCTCATGATTTAGGAAATATTCAAGGAAATGCAATTTTACTAAAATATATTTATAAAGAAGAAACTCATTCCACCTCTTTTTTGTGATTTTTGGCAATTTGCTGTTATTAGCTTGCCCTTGTGAAGATGGAACACAACTATGCTCCTGACACAATATATATACAGTAAATCCAATTTAGCCTTGTATAAATTGAATTTACCAATCAGTTTCACCTTCCAATTTGCAAAGCAACAGTATCTTTTCAAAGAGCCCACACTTTTGGGCCTTTTTCAAATAGGTTGCTGAAGGAAGGGGGTAAGAACAGGTGGCTGAGCCATGGTTTTACAGCCCCCTGATCACCACCTAAAGGAGAACATGTATTCACTCAGGGCTGTATACACTGTCACTTTTCCCAAGGTGGCAGTGTCTTTTCAAAGGCTTAATCTACCCAAAACTGAAATCTAAGTTTCTGGTAGATGCTGGAAAATTGAGTCACTTAACAATATCTTATATTTCTTGAGGATTCTATTGGTGAGATTTTTGCATTTGGGTTCCTGGATCTGTACACCTCTATTGCTATTATAGTGGATTTCTCACTCTCCTTGATGGATGTTTAAGTTATTTTATATTATGAAGAATGCAACAGGAGGTCTCAAAAGACTATTGGAAAAGAGAGGTGATGAGAGAAAGTAGTAGATGCTCATATATAGAGATGAGCGAATCGAACTTGGCGAAGTGGAATTCGTTTAGAATATTAGGAAAAATTCGATTCGCACCGAATCCGAATTTTAGCAAACTTCGGACGCACGAATCGAATTTTCCCCGATCAGCCGGCAAAAAGTGTCACTGCAGAGAGCTCCGCTATTTCTGACAGTTCTCTGACAGTTCCTTCACATTTACAGCGGTTGAAACATTGTATCTATTTGTTTCCATTTAGGATACAGATGTTTTTATTCGGAAATAAATAGATACAATGTTTCAACCGCTGTAAATGTGAAGGAACTGTCAGAGAACTGTCAGAAATAGCGGAGCTCTCTGCAGATACACTTTTTGCTGTACTGGAATTCTTCTTCTTTTCATTCTTCTTCTTCTTTTCATTCTTCTTCTTCTTCTTCTTCTTTTTTCATTCTTCTTCTTCTTCTTTTCATTCTTCTTCTTCTTTTCATTCTTCTTCTTCTCATTCTTCTTCTTCTCTTTTCATTCTTCTTTTCATTCTTCTTCTTCTTCTTTTCATTCTTCTTCTTCTTCTTTTCATTCTTCTTTTCATTCTTCTCATTCTTCTTTTCATTCTTCTTCTTCTTCTTTTCATTCTTCTTCTCTTCTTTTCATTCTTCTTTTCATTCTTCTTCTTCATTCTTCTTTTCATTCTTCTTCTTCTTCTTTTCATTCTTCTTCTTCTTCTTCTTTTCTTTTTCATTCTTTTTCATTCTTCTTCTTCTTCTTTTCATTCTTCTTCTTCTTCTTTTCATTCTTCTTTTCATTCTTCTTTTCATTCTTCTTCTCATTCTTCTTTTCATTCTTCTTCTTCTTCTTTTCATTCTTCTTCTTCTTTTCATTCTTCTTTCTTCTTCTTCTTCATTCTTCTTCTTCTTCTTTTCATTCTTCTTTTCATTCTTCTTCTTTCTTCTTTTCATTCTTCTTTTCATTCTTCTCATTCTTCTTTTCATTCTTCTTTTCATTCTTCTTCTTCTTTTCATTCTTCTTCTTCTTCTTTTCATTCTTCTTCTTCTTCTTTTTTCATTCTTCTTTTCATTCTTCTTCTTCTTCTTCATTCTTCTTCTTCTTCTTCTTCTTCTTTTCATTCTTCTTCTTCTTTTCATTCTTCTTTTCATTCTTCTCATTCTTCTTCTTCTTTTCATTCTTCTTTTCATTCTTCTTCTTCTTTCTTTTCATTCTTCTTCTTCTTCTTTTTCATTCTTCTTTTCATTCTTCTTCTTCTTCTTTTCATTCTTCTTTTCATTCTTCTCATTCTTCTTTTCATTATTCTTTTCATTCTTCTTCTCATTCTTCTTTTCATTCTTCTTCTTCTCATTCTTCTTCTTCTTCTTTTCATTCTTCTTTTCATTCTTCTCATTCTTCTTTTCATTCTTCTTTTCATTCTTCTTCTCATTCGTCTTTTCATTCTTCTTCTTCTTCTTTTCATTCTTCTTCTTCTTCTTTTCATTCTTCTTCTTCTTTTCATTCTTCTTTTCATTCTTCTTCTTCTTCTTTTCATTCTTCTTTTCATTCTTATTTTCATTCTTCTTCTTCTTCTTTGTCGTGCCCCGTGACTGCCCAAATGAATGAAGTGTGCGGTGATTCTAAGATCGACGGCACTCATCTGCATGTCATACTGACTGACAGTATTATTTCTCTTCCCCAGCAGACTCCAAGGGCATTTAAATTAAAGGTACAGTGTTCTGCACTAATATAAAGGCTCTCTGAAACCTAGAAACCCTTTTAATAAGTTAAATTCACAGCGAATAAATTCGCATCGAATCGAATTTCTCCCGCAAATTCGGCGAATCAGCCGAATCGAATTTTTGAATAATTCGCTCATCTCTACTCATATACTATGGGTAAAATAAACTATTTTTTTTATTATTATTTACAGAGTCTAAGGTTGACCTCCAAAATGCATTTAGATGTATAGGCATGTCTATGAGTAAGTCACATGAGTAATAAGGCATAGTTCTAGGTTCCCAAGACTTCCAGCTCCCTCTCCATGGGTGCAATGCTTTCACAAGTGTTCTGTCCACCAAGCAAAACTATTAGAAACATACAGAAATGTAGGTTGCACTTCACTGTCTCTATCAGGTAAAAAATACATCTTTATTTCATGTTAGCATATATGCATTATTGCAATATATTATTTGTATGCATGCAGCTAGTGGATTATTATATTATATTATGTTTCCATAGTTTTCTTTTTACTTTGTACCTCCATTTTTCTATAATTTCAGTTGTACTTTCTGAAATGCAAATTACAAAAAACATGTAAAGACATTTTCTTTGAAGTACTCAAATATAATAGTCTTAAAGACCTGAGTCAGCGATCTTTATAACTTTGGGCCATAAGTATTGCATTCCTGATTGATGCACCTGATGTATATATTCTATAACAGCACATCTAATTTTCAATTATTTTATGTAACAGCATCAGGGAAATGCTAACAACTCAAGCAGACAGATTCAGCCAAGAAGAGGTATGATTGCTTATTTATCTTCTAATTTGCAAAAAGTTAATCATGGTTACACCAATATAATCTTATTTATTTCACGGTACAGGAAAAATGAGCTGCATTGCTTTTGACTAGATAGGTCTAATTAGCAAATATGAAGTGCTGTTGTCCAGGTTTGTTCAAAATATCCCTTAGAAATGGCATGGTCATATTAAGACATAGAGCTAATTTGAACTGTATTGACAGATTGTATTTATTTTCCCTTCCTAAAGACAGCTTTTGCAATATTGAATGCAGTTAAATAATAGAGTAGGTACTTTGAAGAACTGCCCACTGCTTGGCACCAATAAAATCCCTTTCTGACTTATAAAAACTATAAAAAAAATAACATTACTTGCAAGAGATATTCCAAGCCCACTAATCTATAGGGTCAAGGTCAGGGGCAGACTGACCATTCGGGAACTTGGGCAGTGCCCGAGGGTCCAGGGTCAGTAGGGGGCCCCATGAGATGCCCCTAGTACCTTTCATAGGCTTTTTTTGGGTGTGTGGTTTGAGTGTAGGCGGGGACACAGGGGCCACATGATCCCCTATTGCCTGGGTGCTCCATGAGTTGTTAGTCCGCCCCTGGTCAAGGTACTAGCAAAAGTCAGGTTATGCAGGGATAATCAAACAGTTATAAAAATACAAACTCAGCACCACACTTTACTGTATATTTCTTAGCCCACCCACTCATTTATTTAACTTAATTCAAAGTTGAACATTAGGAACCCTCCAAAAGATGCCCATTTTGAGTAATAATTTTAGTAACCATATTCGCTCCCACCCCATTGTATATATACAGAAACAAAATTTTGCTCTTCTGGTAGTGGTTACTTTAAAGCTTCTCAGTATCCCTTTGAAAAGTGTTCCTTCTGTTTCACATATACTCATGCCATTGCCATGATGCCATCTGATCAGAGTCTATCCTCAGCAAAAGCTAGTATCCTGTGCCTGCAATAGTAGCTGTTGTGTCTGTATTACAATCACCTGTCACCATTTACTGCTGCAGCACCATTACTGGCATCACCAATACCATTGACTTTAGTTCTTGTGATTGCTATCATCTTTACATCCAGTCCAATGCTATAACTAGACTCCACCTCCGCAACATCTCCAAAATACGTCCGTTCCTAACCCCGGAAACTACTAAGCAACTCATTCACTCCCTTATCATATCACGACTTGACTACTGTAACTCCCTCCTCACCGGCTTACCTCACCACAGGCTATCCTCGCTTCAGTCTATCCTGAATACAGCGCCCAGACTCATCCACCTTACCAACCTCTCCATATCTGCCACCCACCTCCGCCAATCCCTCCACTGGCTTCCGATTGCCCAACGCATAAAATTCTAATTACTAACATTGATGTACAAAGCTGTTCATAACACTGCCCCAAACTACATCACCGACCTGATATCCTTATACCACCCAAAACGTACTCTCCACTCCTCACAAGACCTCCTACTCTCTAGTTCCCTGGTCTCCTCCTCCCATGCCCGTCTCCAGGACTTCTCCAGGGCTTCCCCCATCCTCTGGAACTCCCTACCCCAATCCATCAGACTATCACCTACTCTCTTCTCCTTTAGGCGCTCCCTGAAAACCCATCTCTTCAGGGAAGCCTACCCCGCCCTCAACTAATTGCTGATCTCCTCCACTCTTTCTACCACTCCATCCCCCACAGCTATTTCCTCGAGTACCACTATCCCCTCCCTCCTAGATTGTAAGCTCCAAAGAGCAGGGCCCTCTAACCCCTCATGTATTGAATTGTATTGTTACTGTACTGTCTCGTGTACTGTCTCCCATTAAAATGTACAGTGCTGAGCAAACTATTGGCGCTATATAAATATTGTATTATAATAATAATAACTATGCAAAATTATTTATTAATAACTTTTAATAATTTTTATCAATTAATTAAAAAACCTGACTGGCGTAATCCAATCATGTGCAAAACAAAAAAACTATATTCACAAAGCAAATTTTCACTACATTTACTAAGCTATGGTAAAATTTAATTGCAGAGTAATCATTCCTTTGTGCATTGACCAGTCTATTTGCCTAGGAAATCAACTCCATAGTATTTACTGACTTTAATTTTTCCCACAATATCAGACTTAGCACTTTAGAGGCCTGAGGAATTGCTTTAAAGACCAGCTTTCTCATCACATTTCCCTGGATGTTCTGGTGTTTGATGATAATGATAATTCTAAGGATTTTTTTTTTGCTCTTTCAGCACGATGGTAAAATCTGATTCCTTGGTTATTAAGGCCGGTGCCAGACAAATATCCCTTTGAACAAAGCAACACAAACAATTCTTGCCAATGTCACATGTGTGTACCACATTGCCACATGTTGCACAAGAAAAAATGCTGAACTCATGAAAAAAAGATATTACCAGGATTTTATTGAGATCTGATGTAACCTTATATTGTATTCATGTCATAGATCAGCCAGATGTTCCATGCCTTCCCCCCAGATGTTGCTGGGAACTTGGATTACAAGAATCTATGTTATGTTATCACCCATGGTGAGGAGAAGGACCAGGAGTAGTAAGATGACACAATTAAAGACAGAGCTCCTACAACGGGAACAACATTTCAACATGTTGCCTAATTTACTGTGATGATCAAAGTGCCTAAATTGTTTTAACTGTCTCAGTAATAAAAACAAGTATTCACTGCCGGTATTTGCATTGTCATTGCCTGTGTGTTCAGAGTTTAACATGTTCTAACTGATGTATTCGGAAGTCGACATGTTTAAGGCTCAACTATTGTTCATACTAATAGAATTTACACAGTCAGAGGCATCTCCTTTAGAGCATAAAACAGACAGAGCTAAAACTTAAGTATTTGGGGGCAATGTAATCTGCAACTCATAACTTTACAATCTTAAAGTGCTACAGATACTAGATTAAAAGGAATTGAAGAAAAATTCCAAGTGCAGCATTTTACATAGTTTATTGGTCTAGCTCAATCCAATGTAACTATGCATATACAGTATCGTACCTGTGGGATCACTGTAGAAGCTGGAAATTACTGTAGTAGACAGTAGTGACCTCCACTAGCTTCCAGGTCCCATGTCAAGTGTCTGCCCTGCTGTACTCTGAGCACAGGCAGTGAGCTGGCTGGCAAACGTTCCATTCAGAAAACGCTTAGCATTTTCTCAATTGGGCAGTGAAGTTGTGATCTCCATTGTGTCCAATCATAAAATGCTTTAAATTCAATGCAAAGCATTCTCTCTGTGGCTCCTGTGCTAAATAATTGACTTCCTGTGTTCAGAATGTAGCAGTGCAACCTCTGATGTACTGGTGTCTGTTACAGTGTCATCCAGCTTCTAGAGAGGTCCCACAGATTATATATTCTTAGTTGCACAGGTCCAAGCTGGACTAGAGTCATTTTGTAAAAAGTGCCATACCTAGATTTTTTCTTTAATGGAAAAATCTGCTTTTTCTAAAAAAAAAATCAATATATCAACATATAGTTCCTATACATTATGAAATTTAATGTTATTAAAACTTACCTTTCCATTTTAGTCTGCTATGGTTTTCAAAACTAAATGGAAATTAAAATGTGTCTTGTTTGTAGCCATGACACCTGAGCGTATTCTGTACATTGTACTTCCCAAGAAGAGTGTGTGATCATGTGATTATAACCAGACCCCTCCCGTTCACTTGGAAATCAGGAAGTGATGAGAATGCAGGTAATGGTGTCCACACAACAGGAACAGGTAAAATGCGAAGGAAATAATTATCGGATGGAGAGAGCAAATTTCCCATTATCTTTGTCCCAAGGATTTACTGGTACCACATCCTTTAATACATAAATGCAAAGAAAGAAAAATCCTACAAAAAGGTACAAACTATATAGGATTTTGAAGCTACTACGCCATAAACAAGTCAACTTTTATTGATATAAAAATAAAATATTTTAAAATCCCAATGGAATTGGATTACACTCAAAGCATAGCTTAGATTTGCTCATACTGAAACTAACATATACACCGGCAATGGTTAGCAACATAAGCTCCAGACAGTATATAGTCACGGGGAATCATTTAGGTGGATGACTTCAATGCGATTTGTGGAAAATTTGAAATCCACAACCACACAGGCATATTATTTAATTGTATATAATATATGAATATTACTACCTACTGTGAATGCTGAAGCAGTATGCAATATATAAAAACAGGTGTGGAGCTGTGTTTTTTAAATATTGCATACTGCTTCAGCATTCACAGCAGGTAGTAATATTTACAGATTATATACTATGAAATGTCTATGCCTGCATGATTGTTGAAATCAAATTTGCCTTTTGTCTATTATATTTTCTTTGTATTTCTATAGAAGTTAACACTTTCTGAAGGCCTTGTCCTATGAAACATGTCAAAGATATCCAACTAAATTATTCCCCATGAATATATACTGTCTGGGGCTTAAATTGCTAACCATTGGCTGTATATGTTAGTTGCAATATGAGCAAATCTAATGTATGTGTATCTAAGTGTAATCCAGTTCCTTTGGGATTTTAAAATATTTTATTTTTGCATAAATAGTAGTTAACGTTTTATCATATATTTATGGTGTAGTAAATTCAAAATCCTATATAGTCTGTACTTTTTGTTAGGGGTTTTTCCTCGCAGGAACAAGTAAAAGCCTGTGTTAAAGTTTTGTAAAACTCTTGCAATGGACACAGCATGAACATAGGATGTGTTAAGACACCTTTAGCATGGAATAATTTTTTAAATATTTATTCCAAAAATAAACTAAAATGTTTAATAAAAGATATAATGTGTGTATTGGACATAAAATATATGTCAAGTAAGCTGATTTTTAAAATCTAACCAGAGCATATAAGGCATACAATAGCATCACAAAATATGTGATTCGATAAAGGTTAGTTTAAGACTTGACAGAGAACCACAGGCTAAATCATACTAATAATGTACTTAAGCAGCAATTCCTCCTGCCTTTTGCATGTTATCTCATTAGGGCCAATTCCCACCAGTGTGTTGATCTGAGTTTTTAGCACAGCTGTAAAACGCAGATTAATGCAAGGACATCTGTAAAACAATAATTTCCAATGTGTCCTATTCACAGAATGCTGGGTTGACCTGTGTTGCGCTAAAATGCAACATGTATGCATTTTAGTACAACACAATGGATGCACGTGGATGTAAGTGGATATCAACACAATGCACAGGTTATCCTATGAATATGCATGTCAACAGATGTCAAAAATGTATGTCAATGGATGTCAGCGCATGACTAAATTAGATGGAAATGTACATCCATTTTCTATACATTTTAGCGCAAGTCAGTGTGAATTGACCCTAATATAATGGAAGTGTAGCCCCTTAACCAGGAGATGCTGGAACAATGTGCATATGTACAACTCTTATTTCCACAACAGCTCATTTTTAAATCTTTTGGTAGATCAATGTTCTTAGTTGCAGATTCAACCACTTACCAGCAATTGTATATTTCTAAAGTGCAAGGTATAAAGTGCCAGTTCTTAATAACTGCAACCAATCACAATGTACTTTGTTGAATCATACCATTAGAAGATACAATTGAACTGGTCAAATATGATTGCGTTACTGTGCTGTATTCCATAAATATAAGTGATTAATAAATTAAATGATAGCCTTCATCTGTCCTAAGTACTCAATATATACAGAGCCTTGAAAAAGTATTCATATCCCTTGAAATTTTCCACATTTTATCATGTTACAATCAAAATCATAAATGTATTTTATTGGGATTTTTTGTGATAGACCAACATAAAGTGACACAATTGTGAAGGGGAAGGAAAGTGCTAAAATTTTTTTTTACAAACAAATATGGAAAAAGTGTAACGTGCATTTGTGTCAGGTATCTACTGGCGATGACTCTAGAGATCCACAGGCCGGGATTCCCAAGGGTGCGGAGTCTAAGCCCAGTCTGCTTGTTCACCAGAGCCCCTGATGGTGGGGATGGACTTGGAGCAGGCTGAGACCTGGTCGCGGCCCCTGAGTACACCCAGCTGCGGTAGAGGTAACCACCAGTGGCACGTAGCGGATAAGAGCCTGCTGTGAAGAGGCTGAGTAGATCTGGGCAGTAGCGGATGGATCCGTGCAGGATGGATGGACGGATGACACCATGAAGAGACAGCGAAGACAGGCAGGCCAGGTCGGTAACAGCGGAGGTGAAACGGTACAGAGCAGTAGGCAGGGAGTAATCGGGTCACGGGCCAGGTTCAGCAGCAGGAGGTCAGATAATCAGGAACAGGCAGAAGAGAAGTCAAGACGAGCCAGGGGTCAGGGCAGGAGACGGTGAACAGCAATCAGGGTCAGGCTACTTTGGCAACAAGGCAATCTAAGGAACAGAACGAGCAGGAACAACAGGAACAAGACCTTGAATTTGAGCATGCAAGGGGTCGATTTAAATAGTGCGCCCTGCGCTGTCATTGGTGCCAGGCACGCGTCCACGTTTGTTTGGCCACGTTTGTTGCCGCGGTCGCCTATGTCCTAGCGCCCGCATGCTGGTACGCATTGGTATTCTGCGCATGCGCAGACCCGTGCGCCACGGCGGACCTTGAGATCCCTGACAATTTGTATTCAGCCCCCCTGAGTCAATATTCTGTAGAACCACCTTTCGCTGCAATTACAGCTGCAAGTCTTTTTGGGTTTGTCTCTACCAGCGTTGCACATCTAGAGAGTGACATTTTTGCCCATTCTTCTTTGCAAAATAGCTCAGGCTCGGTCAGATTGGATGGAGAGTGTCTGTGAACAGCAATTTTCAAGTCTTCAGATTCTCAATTGGATTTACGTCTGGACTTTGACTGGGCCTTTCTAACATATGAATATGCTTTGATCTAAACCATTCCATTGTAGCTCTGGCTGTATGTTTAGGGTCGTTGTCCTGCTGGAGGTGAACCTCCTCCCCAGTCTCAAGTCTTTTGCAGACTCTAACAGGTTTTCTTCTAAGATTGCCCTGTATTTGGCTTCATCCATCTTCCCATTAACTCTGACCAGCTTCCCTGTCCCTGCTGAAGAAAAGCATCCCCACAACATGATGCTGCCACCACCATGTTTCAAGGCGGGGATATGTTCAGGGTGATGTGCAGTGTTAGTATTCCGCCACACATAGCGTTTTGCTTTTAGGCCAAAAAGTTAAATTTTTGTCTCATCTGACCTTCTTCCACGTTTGCTGTGTCCCCCACATGGCTTCTTGCAAACTGCAAATGGGACTTCTTATGGCTTTCAAGGGGTATGAATACTTTTTTAAGGCACTGTATAAAAATATACAGTATATATAAGGCATTTAAAATAAAAAGAGGATTCATATACCTAGCACTAGCATTGCATATATTTCTAGCATATAGTTTTAAGAATACAATATTTTCTGCAATAGTGTTCCTTTACAATTATCATTTCACAAATTTTATAAATAAAGCAATTTGTAATTTTATTTGGAGTTTTTGGATATTCGGGTTAATATACAGTATATAAGCAGGAATTGACCACAGAAGTTCCCAAAAAATTATTTTGCCATGGCTATAGAACATTGA